TTTTAAAACCGTCTCCTCTAGCTGTATTTTATTTTTTACTTTCAAACCGTCTACGCAGTCTGTATTTTATTTACTTTTTAAAACCGTCTCCTCTAGCTGTATTTTATTTTTTACTTTCAAACCGTCTACGCAGTCTGTATTTTATTTACTTTTTAAAACCGTCTCCTCTAGCTGTATTTTATTTTTTACTTTCAAACGGCCTACGCTGTCTGTATTTTATTTACCCTTTATGACGGTCTCCAGTAGATATATTTTTTCAAATATTTTTTAGCCGTCTCCACTATCTGTACTTTATATACTTTTATATAACTCTATCCTCTAGCAGTATTTTATTTTCTACTTTCAAACCGTCTACGCGGTCTCTGTATTGTATATACTTTTTTAACACCGTCTTCACTAGCTTATTTATTTTTTACTTTCAAACAGTCAAGGCATTCTGTATATCATTTACTTTTTTATAACCGTCTCAACCTGTATTTTATTTTCTACTTTCAAACCGTCTCCGCTAGCTGCATTATATTTTCTACATTAAAACTGTCTACGCAATCTGCATTTTATTTACTTTTTCATAACCGTCTCTACTAGCTGGGTTTTTTTTTCTACTATCAAATCGTCGACACAATCAATATTTTATTTACTTTTTTATAACCATCTCAACTTGTTTTATTTTCTTTTTACCAACCGTCTCCGCTAGATATATTTTTACAAATACTTTTTAGAGGTCTCATCTATCTGTACTTTATTTACATTTCTATAACCGTCTCCACTAGCTGTATTTTATTCTCTACTTTCAAACCGTCTACGCAATCTGTATAAACAATTTTTTTTTATAACAGTCTCCTTTAGCTGTATTTTATTTTTTACTTTCAAATCGCCAACGCAATCTGTATTTTATTGACCCTTTAATAACCGTCTCCATTAGCCGTATTTTATTTTCCACTTTCTAACCATCTCCACTAGATATATTTTTACAAATATTTTTTAGCCGTCTCCACTGGCTGTATTTCTTTTTCTACTTTCAAACAATCTACGCAGTCTGCATTTTATATACTTCTATAAAACCGTCTCCGCTAGCTGTATTTTATTTTCTATATTATATTTATTTTTTTATAACCGTCTACACTAGCCGTATTTTATTATCTAGATTGAAACTGTCTACGCAGTCTGTATTCTATTTCCATTTCTATAACTGTCTCCCCTAGCTGTATTTTATTTTCTACTTTCTAACCACCAACGCACTCTGTATTTTATTTACACTTTATAACTGTCTCCACTTACCCTATTTTGTTTTCCATTTTCCGACCGTCTCCACTAGCTGTATTTTTACAAATATTTTTTAGCCATCTCCACTAGCTGTATTTTTACAAATATTTTTTAGCCATCTCCACTAGCTGTATTTTTACAAATATTTTTTAGCTGTATTTTTACAAATATTTTTTAGCCGTCTCCACTAGCTGTATTTTTACAAATATTTTTTAGCTGTATTTTTACAAATATTTTTGAGCCGTCTCCACTAGCGGTATTTTGACAAATATTTTTGAGCCGTCTCCACTAGCTGTATTTTTACAAATATTTTTGAACCATCTCCATTAGCTGTATTTTTACAAATATTTTTTAGCCGTCTCCACTAGCTGTATTTTTACAAATATTTTTGAGCCGTCCCCACTAGCTGTATTTTTACAAATATTTTTTAGCTGTATTTTTACAAA